ACCTCAAAAGAAATCAAAATTTAAAATAAATTTAAAAACTAATTAAATTAATCAATTTAAAAGTTAAAAACTCTTGCAAATAATATCTACTAGAATAATGTATTATGCAATTCGAGGAGCAACTTTTTGCTTCAAAGATTTTGTTCTTATTTTCAATTTTATAACACTTGGTGGTTCTTACTTTAACTTTTGTAATATCATACATTTAAAAAGAAAGAACAAATTTAAAAAAAATATAAACTTCTTAGTTATAATGTTTCGGTCATTTAAAAAAAATATTTAATTTTGTTAAGAAACTAAGAATTTAGAAGAGTTTTTTCGGATCATAAATTTAATGAAAAGAAAAGTAACATTATCGCTGAAGATATGAACATATTTAAAATATCAGGTTTTGTATTCATGCAGCACAAAGTAGGAATATCAATGTTAAGAAACTTCAATTCAAATTGCTGAGCGGTATCTTTGATATTTAACAAGAAAAACTACCAATGGTCAATGAGTGAGATATGGAATCGCGATTCCCAGGCTGTCATTGTAATGCCCGTTTTCTCTTCTATTGCGTCCAAATCAGCTGATTTCTGGAAAGTTGTCAGAAAAAGGGAGTGTCCTTGACTAGAAATATGCACTTCTAAGTATAAAAATTCTCTTGTTTTGGTTTTTTTTTTATTTTCTCTATAGGGTAAAAAAAAAAAAATTACTAAAGAATTTTTGGAAAAGAACAGCTTTAAATTTAGCATTCTTTTTACTTCAGATAAAAGAAACCCCATACTTTTATTTAAAAATTCGTTCGTAATTTGCTATAAAATTAAATTTTCATATTTCAAAATAAACACTGTATTTCAATGCTTTAAAAATATTATTTAATTACACTCAGACATTTAATGTTATTGATTTCATACTAGATTGTTCGAAATATATTGCAATGACAAACATAGCGACTGGTGAAGACATGCAGCTAAAGAACACCAAAAGTTTTGACTTAGTACTATTTTTATTATAAAATTAATGCTTTTAACCGTAAAATTTGTTCTAAATAGAACATTTTAAGTGGAATAAAATTGTCTGATTTTTAGATAAAAAGATTTTTTCTAATAAAATTTTAGACCATTACAATTTAAATATTCGTTGAATTTAAGAAGCAATTTTTTATAAATTAAAAATATCTTACCACGAAAAAATTTATTCACATAGATAGACATTTGAAACATAGATTTAAAATTTCCTTTCCAATAATTTTTTTTCATACAATATAACATAACATCCCTTTGATCGAGCTAATTTTACGTTTCGTCAGTTCTCGTGCATTTTTTATACAACTTTATCTAATGTAATTTTTTTTTTTTAATTTCGTAAATTAAGCTGCTAAATTCTGCTGATTTTAGATATTTATCAAATTGTGATATTGGGAACTATTTCTTTATCTTCATGAACTATGTGTTTTGGCAGTTCAATGCCTGGAATAAATTAAATTGTCACAGGGAGAAAGAAATCGTTCCCATAATATCTATCAATGTTTGTTAGTTAAAATTTTTATTTCTTAAATAACAACCCAGAAAGTTAAAAAAAGGAATACTGCATTATAGAAAGTATACAAAAAAGTGTTACTTTTTTTTCTTCCTATGTCTGTGCTTCAAGGAAACAGGCCTGCTAAAATATTTTCTAATATTAACAGGCCTGCTAAAATATTACTAAATATTAAATATTATACTCAAAATGTTTTTAAAGAGATAAATATAATAACTTTGAATCATANCTCCAAAGATAAATAAAGAACTAAAATTTGATGAAGGATTTTGATATCTAAACTTATTATTAAATTAACATTATATAATTAATAGTTTGCCGTTTGCTATAACAAAAAGCAATTTTCAATTTCAAATTTGTATTTAACTTTTTTCATTATAATTTTTGTGTGCATAAAGAAGAGCATTTTAATACCGTTTATTAAATGATCGGATAAAGCATTTACACTTCATATAGAAGGTTCATTAACATTATTTCTTAAATTTTTTTATCTATGAAATTTTAAGGACTATAAGGCTTAAAAAAATATCTAACTAAGAAAAAAAAATCAATGTAAAAAAATTAATTTAATTAAAAACTCTGCTGCTTTTATCATTATTTTTTTCGCTAAAAAAGAAAAATATTTATCTTTCTTTTATCGCTATTTTCATGCGAGGCATTTGATTAGGTTTCTTATATAGAATTTTTCTTTCTTCATGCGATGAATTTATTAATTGTTATTACATGCATAAAACCGGAATAAGCATTTCATAAACTGGATGCATCAAGTCATTTTATTCCTGTCTAAGACTTGACATCAAAATTTAAAAATTTATTGAATTAATAAATTTAAAAGTTAAAAACTCTTTCAAATAATATCTGCTAGAATAATGTATTATGCAATTCGAAGAGCAACTTTTTGCTCTTATTTTCAATTTTATAATACTTGGTGGTTCTTACTTTAACTTTTGCAATATCGTACATTTACAGAGAAAGAACAAATTTTAAAAAAATATAAACTTTTTAGTTATAATGTTTTGGTCATTTTAAAAAAATATTTAATTTTGTTAAGAAACTAAGAATTTTAAAGAGTTTTTTCGGATCATAAATTTAATGAAAAGAGAAGTAACATTATCGCTGAAGATATGACATATTTAAAATATCAGGTTTTGTATTCATGCAGCGCAAAGTAGGAATATCAATGTGAAGAAACTTCAATTCAAATTGTTGAGCGGTATCTTTGATATTTAACAAGAAAAACTACCAATGGTCAATGAGTGAGAAATGGAACTGCGATTCCCACGCTGTCATTGTAATGCCCGTTTTCTCTTCTATTGTGTCCAAATCAGCTGATTTCTTGAAAGTTGTCAGAAAAAGGGAGTGTCCTTGACTAGAAATATGCACTTCTAAGTATAAAAATTCTCTTGCTTTGGTTTTTTTTTTTATTTTCTCTATAGGGTAAAAAAAATTACTAAAGAATTTTTGGAAAAGAACAGCTTTAAATTTAGTATTCTCTTTACTTCGGATAAAAGAAACCCCATATTTTTATTTAAAAATTCGTTCGTAATTTGTTATAAAATAAAATTTTCATATTTCAAAATAAACACTGTATTTTAATGTTTTAAAAATATTATTTAATTACACTCAGACATTTAATGTTATTGATTTCATACTCGATTGTTCGAAATATATTGCAATGACAAACAGAGCGACTGGCGAAGACATGCAGCTAAAGAACACCAAAAGTTTTGACTTAATACTATTTTTATTACAAAATTAATGCTTTTAACCGTAAAATTTGTTCTAATTAGAACATTTTAAGTAGAATAAAATTGTCTGATTTTTAGATAAAAAGATTTTTTTCTAATAAAATTTTAGACCATTACAATTTAAATATTCTTTGAATTTAAGAAGCATTTTTTTGTAAATTATAATTATCTTACCACGAAAAAATTTATACTTGCTTTACATAGATAGACATTTGAAACATAGATTTAAAACTTCCTTTCCAATATTTTTTTTTCATACAATATAACATAACCTCCATTTTATCGAGCTAATTTTACGTTTCGTCAGTTCTCGTGCATTTTTTTACACCACGTTACCTAATGTAATTGTTTTTTTGTTTTTTTTAATTTCTTAAATTAAGCTGCTAAATTCTGCTGATTTTAGATATTTATCAAATTGTGATAATAAGAACTATTTCTTTATCTTCATGAACTATGTGTTTTGGCAGTTCAATGCCTGAAATAAATTAAATTGTCACAGGGAAAAAGAAATCGTTCCCATAATACCTATCAATGTTTGTTAGTTAAAATTTTTATTTCTTAAATAACAACCCAGAAAGTTAAAAAAAAAAAAAAAGAATACTGCATTATAGGAAGTATACAAAAAAAGGGTTAATTTTTTTTTCTTCCTATGTCTGGGCTTCAAGGAAACAGGCCTGCAAAAATATTTTCTAATATTAACAGGCCTGCTAAAATATTGCTAAATATTAAAATATTACACTCAAAAGGTTTTTAAAGAGATAAAATGACGCATTGGAAGGACAATAGTTAGATGTAAAAATAAATCTTAAAAATGGCAAGCTAAAATTAAAAACGTCAATATCAACAAACAAACAATCACATTTTCAAAAAAGAAAACTCACGTTTATTTTTATGCAGGAAATTCAATAACATTATTAAAAAATGTTCAAGAAGGTTAATGTATGGCAAAGATATGATTGCGAGAACAAATTATAAACAAAAAATTTTAAACCCCTATGTAGAAAAACAATTGCTGCCAATTAAGTTAAAATAGGTAATATTACAGGATTGATACATTTTTAATATTTCATAATTATTTTAAAAGTAATTCATTTATATAAGAATAGATTTCTTTCTGACGCATAATATTTTTTGAAATATTAGCAAAACACTAAATTTTAATAATAAATAAAAACATATAAGGTTTTAAAGCTATACATTAACATTATATGTTGTATACATACATTTACATAACAATATATTTACATTTATACTAAGCTTAGTAAAATAACAAGGAAAAGCATGTTCTCAAATGTTACCTACTGCTAAACTATGATGAAATAAAATCATAATACTAATAAATTGATTATTCAAATATTCAGAGAGGGAAATTCAGCAGGAGAGTTAAGTCTTACTAATTTAATAGCTCGTATTTTGAAAAAACATATATTGGAAAAAAGATGTTAATAAATTGATTAGGAACTTAAGACCTACTAACTATTAACTTAAAACAGTTATTTTTAAAACTTTTTTTGAAAAAAAAAAAAAAAAGATAATGTTTAAAATATAAAAATAATTAGAATTGAAATAGCCGCAAAACACTAAATAAATAAATAAACGTAATTATTTTTTAAAAGAGAATTAAAAAAGCTATTTTTTTTTGTTTAAAAATATAAAAGAAAAACTTTACAATTTGGTAAATATTAAAAAATTATAAGTATTTGAAAAAATTAAAAAAATTACAGCTCATTCATTGAAAAATTTGCGTTTCTCTATAATTCCCATTCTTCATCACAAGAATTCCTCATCGCAAGATTCTGTTTCTTCAGAATCATCTGCTGTGCTAATTATTAGGCTGTCAACTAAGTCTTCCATAAACCCATCTTTTTCCCAATATATGTTTTCGACATGCTGACAATGAGAGCGCCATTCGTCAGCTGTCACCCCATTTACAGCATCGTAAAGAAGAGCAGTTAAATTAACAAGGCTTAAATCTCCTGTTGTATTTCTCACTCTCACAAATCTTTTAACAGTTGCCCAAGCATATTCTATGGCATACAAATCGCAATGATATGGAGGAAGGCGAACCACATGGTGTCCCTGATCTTTTATCAGCTTATCAATTGAATAGATCACTTCTTTTGGGCGATTGTTTTCGATCAGGGAAAAAAGTTCAGCCTTCCTCATACCCACATCACAGTCAATACCGTTTAGTGTCAGCCAATCCACCATGACTGCTTTCAGGGCATATTTTGTGGGTGTTGGATTCTCCACCTTAGTGTGGTAAGGTGCATTGTCCATGACAACTACACTCTCAGGTTGAAGATTTGGGAGTAATTTTGCCAACACCCACTTTTTGAAATTATCAAAGTTCATTTGCCCATGGTAGTCCCCAGTTTGGCTTGAGGCTTTGTAAATTAGTTCCGCACCTTGAACGAACCCTTCAGATGTTCCAGCATGGACAAAAATTAGTCTATTTTTCGAACTACAGTTTACGATGGCACCAATTTTGCTATTTTCCTCGTGACAGCATTTTTGAAACGTCAAATTGCTCTCCAGCCACGTTTCATCGATATATACAATTTGCCGTGAAATTCTTCGATGCTCACGCATCTCCCGAAGAAATTTGTTACGCTAGAAAACAATACAAGGCTTTTCAATTAGCAGTTTTCTTTGATTTACGCACTTTCTCCACCGAAAATTCATAGAATGCAAGATCTTTCGCAGACTTTTTTTCTTCCATTTAAAATTTATTTTTTCCTGGAGTACAGGAATCAATTTCGGAATCGAAGGCATTTTATTCTCTTTAAGGTAAAAGTTGCGTATCGTTTGTCGTATGACACACTTATCAAAGTCATCAATATAGCAGTTTCTAGAGGATTCTCTTTTCCTGTTTTTTCCAGGTGTACTGAGGATCTTACCTTCTCCCAAACGGGAGACTTCTCCTTTAATTTTTTTCAAAGTATACTGTGACAAACCAGTTGCGAGGGAGGCTCTTCATGAAGCTTGTTGTATTGGCAGTTTGAGGGATTTTTTCCTAGATTCCTCAGAAAAACATTCCAGGACATTGTGGGCAATTTTCTGAGCCTGAGACTTTAATGTCTCACCTTTCTTAAAAATGAAAGGCATAACAATAAAAACAACTAACAAAAATTTAAAAAAAATTAATGAAAACAAAAATTA